CCTTGGGACCAATGTGGTCCTCTTTCAAAATAAGTTCCATTTGAAATAGACTAGTAATGGAAGGCATTATTGCCGTTCGAAAAATGTTCAATGCGTCTCTATAGCCTTCGTCTGATACCATCGAAATTTATCACGTCTTCAGCATCTGTCTGCTGTGGGACAAGCGTAAGTGCGATTGGGTGGACGTTTCAAAAAATAATTCGAGCTTTAGAGGAATAAGAATTTGAAAATGAGGCGATGACTCTAGTCAAGAGGCAAAATGCAGACAACCTGAACCCGTAGATTACGTTTCGCTTCTCCTCGATTCAATTTCGTTAACTCAACTTTTATAACCTTACTTACTCTATGTTCTGACATTTCACACGATGCAAATTTTATCAAGTACTAGCGTTCGTAAAAAAACCTATACTTTTTGGCATCGGTAGAATTCAACTGCGATAAGCTAGTTCTGTTTGATTAGTAGTTTCAAGATCGCATTCTGTTCTTATTTCCTTCCAATAATAATTACCATAAAACACTTTACCTTGAATATGGGTCGTGGTGTATTCAGCAATGACAATAGTTGGGAGGGTTTTCTATGAGAATAAAGGTCGCGTTGAATTCAGCTATGACAATCAAAGGCACTGCCGTTTATTTCCACTCTGGCATTTAATAATTTTATATGGAATCGACTTTTATAGCTGCTGCGACTAATTGTGCAGAAAACATCACCCGGAGAAAGCGCCTTAGAAATTATATAACAGTGCTAAGGCAGACACAAATATTGAAGGGCTGAAATTGCTAACTTGTTGCTATTTAGTCAACATATTCTTTTGCTTAAGGGAAACTGATTGGTGAAGACTGTTTCCAAGGTCATTACAAGCTGAGTTGAGAACGGTGTCTAACTGGAAAGTGAAAATTGGTATCCATGGCGCAATTACAGTAAATGTGATCCAACAGAGACACAACAGGTGTCTTTAAATCATCGATTCAAAGTGAAGTCCTAGCTGGTCAACCGATTCTGTACAAAATATGTTTAGACAGGCAAATTACCAAATAATAGTACAGCATAAGCAGGGGGTTATCTAAGCGGAGATATGGGAAATTTATGTGAGCTCAAACTAACGTTTCAGGCACAATATCTCTAGCCAAATATTTGGAAAAAAACACTGCTATTTTATTTCCTCCTTCAAAAATCTGTTTAATGGGCAATGAAGTCCAGAGAAAGGACAAAATTTAAGTTTGAAAAGATAAGGAAAATGGAAGGGACAAAAAGAAAATTGAAAGTTAAAAGGAAATGTAAGATGACAGGCAGTTCTAAAACACACCGATCAATTGAATGATAGCCGAATACAAAATAAAAGATATTATTTAAGGAATCGAATTGCAAATCTCTTTACAGATCAATAAATAGCCTAATAGGAAAATTACTGAGAGAAGTGATTGACACACTACGCAATTGGATAACCAGTATTTTGAACCACCATTGAAGTATAAGGCTTAGGAAAGCATATTTCATATAAAGACAGTTCAAAGGTGTGCGGTAGACTCACCTCCACGTGGTGTACCCTGGGCAGCGTGTACTCGTACGGCAAAAAGTCTATGAATTGGCAGTTGACTTCTGACTTTAAACTACTAAGACCCCACTGTATGTCATATTCGACCCCCTGCACAGTACTCACCTTACCCTTTTTTGTACCTTTGTCTTTGAAACACTTCTGTCCCCCCCCCCCCATCTCGAATTTTTCGCCTTGATGTTTCTTCCCCTCTGTGAAGCCTACAGTCAACTAAAGGGCCAATGACAACTATCAAAATGCCTGCCATTTGGTAAATAAATTAAGACAGTTCATGCTTACAAGAAAAGGAATAATATAATAGGTTGATGAAGCACTTTTTAATGGTGCAAGGACAAAGAGTACGAATTGAACGATCCAGAAGGAAACTCGAATTCCGACACAATTTAGGTGTAAGATTGTTAATAGCATAAAATTTAAACCTAAGCAACCTACAAAATAGCTCGCCATGACAGACAAAATAACAGCAATAGCTATCTTTTTTCCACTTTAGAAAACTCTAAAAAGGTGATGCAAAAAATGTTCGATAAGATGTGAGTTTTAAGATGGTTAGACTGGAAAATTTGGCATGTTAGCAATTTTACAAGGTAAATTCCTAGCAAATGTTTTAATTGGGCTTGTGTGATGGGCCATTTAAATTACCGGAAGTTCGCTAATAGGATTAAAACAATGGTTATTCAACAAGGTAGAAGCATGCAATTCACATATGGGGATAGAACAAGTTTTCAGCCTGTTGACCACTTCGAAGGTCCTTAAAATAAAGCCGTAAACACCTAACACTTTGACTGAAATTGAATTAGGCTAACTGAAAAATAAATGAATTCTCTTTTTACACAAAAAGTTCAAGTTAAATTGAGTTATCTATGAAAATGCGCCTGATTGTTTATCAGATAAATACTGAAGAGTATGACTCCGTAATTTTACTGAGTCAAGTGTATTAGTTCTAGAAGTCAGAATGGGACACTGAATAAAAGTAAATGATACTCACTTGAGGCAATCGAGAGTGTCTCAGAATGGCAGCCGTTTGGTGTTGAGCTCCACCATTAGCACTATGGACTGACACTTGACTTGATACCAGACTCGAATTAGGACAATCAGCACCATTACCATTACCACTCCATCCAGACGATGTGGAACCTAAACTGTCCGAAGCAAGACTCAGTGTTCCTTCCAAATTTTTACTTTGCCGTTGACGCTGTTGTCGAGATGACATGATAGCATCCACAACGGAAGCAAAAGCTTCGACTTCATTAGAGCTGGAGGAATGTAGAGCCCCGCTGGGGGTCATCGATACGCCGGAATCGCCTGTAGCTACCCCGGCGCGAGCTAAGACCGATTCGGCGTCTTCTAAGAGGCGAGTAGGATCTTCTGTTGCCGTGGAAAGGGCAGTGAATAACTCACGAAGGGTGGAGACTTCCCCTAGTAGGCTAGTTTCCGTTTCCTGAAGAAAACAAGTTATGAGAGCCATTAATAGGAATATTAGAAGTCGAAAAAAATGGTAAAGTGACACTGTGACTTACAGCGAAATACTTCAAAGTGAATACAAATGCGAGGGATGTATGAACTTTTTTCCCAAATTCGATAAAGTCGCAGAATATTTTAGACAAGATGAAATGATAATTTTTGAAAAGAACTTGTCGTTCTATTTGAGTATACTCATACGGCAAAAAAGTCTATAAATCGGCAGTTGTTGCGATAGACTTACCTCCACGCGGTGCACCCTGGGCAACCCACTCATACGGCAAAAAAGTCTATTAACCGGCAGTTGACTTATCACTTCTCATACGGCAAAAAAGTCTATAAATCGGCAGTTGACTTCAGACTTCAAACTACTATGACCCGACTGCATGTCATATTCCACCACTTCCACAGTACTCATCTTACCTACTTCTCTACCAGTGTTTCCGGAGTTCAAATAAGAGAAAACTCTTAATTATCTGCTGCCATTAGAATCCCTCGTTTCAGTGCGATTAGTGGCATTCTGCTATTCAGACGTTTTTTGGGAATAAAAGTTCTATTTTGCCCTTCCGTGGATAATGTGTTTAAAATCAAGTAAGTAAGTAGTATTTTAGGCCCCAACAGAAATAATACTTTGGCAATTAGGTGAGAAGTGGTTAAAAATTAATTACTTCAACTGACAAAAAAGTGAGCCATCATTTTGTTGCCATGTGCGAAGATAATTGACACAAAGACTGATCTGATCCAGAGAAAATGCAACCCTATTGAGTTTCATAAATGAAAATTTTGTCACTTTGTTGGATTAAAGGTTGGAACCAGTGTTGGATAAAAAGAAGGTATAATTCCAGACGAGTGTACATTTTGCTAAATAAGCTATCTTTTAATGCGTCTATTAATAATTTCAAAAAAATTAAAGCCTGTATTCATCATTAAAATTACAGAAAAAGTGCATTTTACCCCGTAAGATTCACATACGACAGACACTCGATTCCACTCTTGTATAATCTTCCAATTAAAATCAATTAAAAATTGAGGAAAAAATGCAAGAAAAGATGATACTTCTACTTGAAGGCAACTGCGATCGCATTAACGGTCCGAATCCTTCTCATTAGAAAAAAAGTTGACATTAAACAGCTGCAACGTCTAGACATGACCAAACCACCGACTTTATTTCCCACTTAGTAATTACCCCACTTTAACCAGGGGGAATAATTTTACTTCAAATGAGAAAGTTGCAAGGAGTGATGGGTTTGAACTTTTTGTCATTAAAAGCCGGTCACAGGCACTGGACATCGTAGACGAGTATTGCTGCAATCAAGAGGACAGGTCGTGATATTCTAATTTCGAAACGTGGTTTACCCATCCGGTAGATATTGTACAACTCTAGTTCAAAATCGAATGGAGTAAGACCCTTGTACATATTTATATTTTTTCAATTCACTTCCCATTTAAAAATGTACAAGACATTCTGCTATCCCACTTCCGTTGCTTCCCATAGTTAAAAATTGTCAATCATTTTAAATACCATCACGTGTAAGTTCCCATATTCAAGAGAGTGTCAATCAGTTGTTTGAAGGCGGCTTCCAACAAAGTGCCTATTTCGGGTAAATGTAAGATCTGTCAGCACCTGTCATGCAATACTTGAGGTTGTGAAATAGGAACTTGAGAGGTTAAGGCTCCCCCCCCCCCTGGGGGGAATTTTTTATTACCGTTCAGTCTTACGCCATGTGTCTCATTTGGCTCAATTGTACCGCAACAACTAAGCCTACATACATACAATGGATCAAGACTTTATTCTGCCCATTTTAGGGATTGCTTACGAATACTACCATTTTTCATCCGCAATCATTTTTGGGCTGTTTCGCCTGAAGATGAAAGAAGGTGCAGCCAACAGCTCTTACTCTACCACTGTTCAAAAACTTGCTGATGCACTACAGATATAATCTATGCCGCTCACGGAACACACCCTCGCCCTATGAAGAATGTAGAGTTGTCAGGATACGAGACTGATTGGCTTCCTGATTGGTCGTTCAAAATACTCTGAGTTAATGAAAATTCAGTATCCGAGGGCATATAGCATTTACTTCCAATCAGACTTAAAATGCAAATGATGTGACGATAGCTTAATTTAAATAATAGCATAATATTGGGAAGTTATAGAGTTGAAATGCCCTTATAAGAAGTATTTAAAAGAGGATACGCATTCAATAATGTCATAATATTATCAAATAAGAAAATTGAGAAGAAATTGATATTCTCTGCCGTCTTCAAAAAATCACAATTTCAGATAATTCACAAATGAAATATGACCTGTTTGCAAAGAAACTGTGCAAAGGTTGTTAAAAGTCAAAAGAGGACATAAGTACAAATCGATTCAATAATTAATTTAAAAAAAGGCGACCACTTGGAATCTTCGATATCTCCTATTGGAGGAGTGGATGTGTTATAAGGTGAAGCAGGGCAGTACTTCAAAAGACAAGATAGAAAAATTTTGAGACAACAAAGAATTCCTTTAGGCCTAAGTCTGACGCAAAACTGAAAATTTTCCATTGATGTGCCTTAGCTCAGGCAATAGGTGGTAGTAGGCGAATAATTAAAAACGCTTTTTTGCGAACTAAAAATGGAGTAAGAAGAGTCCAAAAACTAGCGATTAATTTTGGCTGTCAAGCTCACATGCTTTACCATAAAGCTGTCCTGCATCCTTATTGTGCACCATTGAAAAGTTATTAGAGAAGAAGAGTAAAACAATCGCGACGTATTAAAACCATGTCACTTTCACCTGATATTATTGTGGTCTACAATAAGCAATATCTCGTTGCCCAAGTAACCAAGCGTAAATAGCAAATGGATGGAATGTTTTAGAAATTGGCATCAATTTATAGAATTGTCCCACTTGAATACCACAAGGTTATTAAGGGGGGAGGGGGGTGAGTCAAGTAGAACAAAGAATTGCAGGTTCAAACATGTCTTTAGAGTCGCCTTGATAGCACTCAACTGTCTGAACATTATATGCAAGGTCAGGATCATGACAGATTGCGTCTCAAAATAGCTAGCAATTTTCAGCCCTTCAGGTGGCAAATTTTGTGAACAGAGATAACTTAGAATTAACATTTTTAATCACAATAGCTTTATGGGGGGGAGGGCTCTGTGCCACATAAAAAAGTCAATTATGATTTGATTAAATGCTTTAAAGAGGGAAGGGTGCAACTTGATGACGACACACGAGGAGGAAGACCCCAGACAGCAAAGAAATCAAGAAAAAGGCCTCTCTTGTGCACATTCTTCAAGAGCTGCCAAGACCCTGATGCGCAAGTCTCAATGGGAAACACTTCCACACACTCCTTATAATTCCTAACTAGCTCCCAAGGAGATTTTGCTTCCTAAACTGCAAGAACACCTTAAAGACATCCAACTTACGTCCTTACATGGAGCGAAAACGTATGCAACTTCATGGAGCCAGAAACAGCCCCCTAAATTCAACCATGAAAGAATTTGAGGGAGGGGTGGGGGGAAAGTGTACGAAAGTAAATAGACAACAAATAAGCCTATGTAAAAAAAACCAAAGTAAATAGTTGTTAACTTACTAAATTATGGAATTTGTCTGAGAGATTTTTGACACACCCTCGTACTGCAGCACATTTTATGCCTAATAAACTTTGTGGAGTTTTTGCAGTCTCCCCTGTTTTAATTTGAAAAATTGAGATATCGACCCTGAAAGATCACAAAAATTTGACGTTACGCTCGTTTGCTCTCCCTCTCTTCCCCCNAACTTTTCCGTAGTTTCGGACATAGCGACAGAATTGTAGATTGATAATCTCTTTTATTTTTTGATTTCAGATTGCTTGGAGAGCANCCCCCCCCCCCCCCCCACACCTCCCCCCTCCACAAAGAAATACGAAAATCGACAAAATAATTCCGTCTGGTTGCGGGTTATAATAACATTTGAGGCAAATAAGAGCAAGCGTAATTCGAAAATCAAGTGGAGTTCGATTTTTGTGGTATTCTGGCTCCATTCCCAGATTTTGCATAAAGCCCTTCCCTTAAAAACTTATTGGATTCGTTCGCTTTAGCACAATGAGCAAATGATTCCATGTTGAATGTGAATTGCACTGTCAGGGAAAAGTACTTGCCAAAAAATACAAGATATAAGTACGTTTTTTACATAATAGAGAAAGTCATTAGAAGCATATGGCAAATTGAAATGGAGAAAAAGATTTCGATCTGATTCAATTCGACAAAATGTACCCCCGAGATAGTGTAATAAAGTATAGATTCGGAGTTGAGCAGCTTAAACAACATTTTAGACCAACCGCTGTGAGTGTTGAATGACGGTGGCATTGAATATGGGATCGCTGTTCAACAAGAATGTCTCAAAACAGTAAGGACAAGTGGCAATTTTTCAGAAGAAAAACAAAGAAGCAAAAAAGTTTCAACTTCCGGGGATCATATTCGTCTACATCCACCATATTAATGCTTCTGTTTGTACGAATCATATAGTGAATAAGGGATTTAAAAATGAACGAACGAATTGTTATTTCATTAAAAGTGTCGCACAAATTATCAATTTTTTTCTGTTAATTTATGAGCATTCATGTGCAAAAATGCATTGAATCCTAGCGCCCTATAAACTGGATTTCCTGCCGAGATCACAATCACTAAACAACCCCAATTTGTGTCATATTCGTGTTAAAAAAACGCATTCTGGTTGGTTCTCGTTAACCAGTGAATCAAAAGTGAAGCGTTATTTTCCGCTTTCACGGTTAAAAGTCTTATTAAGCCACAAATGCGTGGAGTGGTTTGATGAAGAGCCCTGTAATTATCGGCAGATGAAGTGGATGGCAGAATGAAACAAACTATGGAAGACACTAATCCAAAATAAAACCTACTTATAAATCATGTAAGAAATTACACCAAAATGTAATTAATATTTGAACAAAAAATTGCGAGACGTGAAAAATTTTGTCAATGTCCTAATATATCAACTGCAAATTACAGTAACTTATAAGCCTAAAATTGGGCAAAATAGTTATGAAATGCATTGAAAATTAACAATTTCTTACGCACATAATATTTAAAAACGGTGGTTTATTATGGGACTTCACATTAGGATAGATTAAAAAGAAAAATATAAACGACAGATTTGGAACAAAGAAAAGTTTCTTCAAAGAAATTGTAGAGTATTTTAAACCGAATAAAGTTTTCCACTGATTAGGTGACAGAAGCCAATTAAAGAGGTTATTTATTAAATTGTATATAATTCAAATGATCTATAACACTACTAATTAATCTAGACATGGGTGTGCGATAGACTTACCTCCACGTGGTGCAACCTAGGCAACGTATACTAATACAGCAAAAGAGTCTATTAACAGGCAGTTGACTTCTCACTTCAAACTACCATCACTCCACTGTATGTCGTATTCGACTATTTCGCAGTACTCACCTCACCTTTTTTCTACCTTTGTGTCTGTCTCTTTTACATCTTTGAAACACTCTTCTGTTCCCCCTCCCCCCACCCTCTCGACTTTTTTTCATCTTGATGTTCCTTCCCCTCTGTGAAGCCTGAAGTCAATTAAATTACTATTGATAGCTATCAAAACGCCTGCCACTNTCGACATACCCGACTGGCCAAGAATCGAAGCCGTTGCTGAGTTCAGACTATGTACCGGACACGATTGCTTGGCAAAACACCTTCACAGATTGAGAGTATACACTCAACCCACATGCCCTCTATGTAACCTACATGAGGAAATGGAGAAGACCCACCTGATTCGGTGTCCAGCCCTAAAGACAACGATGGAAAGCCAGAGATACTGGGAAGCAAGAAGACAGCTAATGAACTGCTATTAATTTACTGGTATAAATGTTCACCCCCTCCCTTGGGGGAAGCTGAAGTCAAAGTTTAAGGGCTAATGATAAATATCATAAAGCCTGCCATTTGAAATAAATAAATAAATAAATAATGTTACTAATTCTGCATAAAGCAAGTCAAAGGAACTGTGAGATTTATGTTGAAAGTATGTCCTTTTTACAGATACAACAAAGAAAGTAAGTATTGTGTTTTCACACAGATAAATACTTATAAATCCAAAAAGAGAATATTTCTCATTTAAATTTGCTTTTTTGCTTGAGTTTAGACTATATTATTCATTCAATTTATTGTACAACTAATTACTGTTGGGCTGTGAATTCAATTTTATAATCTGCGTCCCAAGCTTGCCAACAACTTTACAGGTCAAGATACTGGTGACACATCTAGGTGCTGGAAGTTTCAAGATTGTCCGAAAAGGAGAGATAAGGGTGTAAATTGGATAGTAAATTCAGTTGAAATTTGGCCTTATCGTTCTTTCCACTGTTTACTTAATATTTGGAAATTTCAGTGGGAAAATTTGAGCTAATTAATGTCTACAATGTGTGTAGTCCTTAATGAATAGCTTGTTACTTACTAGTAATAAGTACATCTCCCCTCATAATCATGAGGCATTTATTTATTTGCTATATTTTCCATTGCTATTCGGTATCGACAACATGACGTTATATCGAGAAATCTGGAAGGTGCGCACGTGCAACCGATTGCGCATCGAGCTAATGCGCCTTGATGATTGCAGTGGCCACCCACCCAACGAAGGTGATCAATTGTCGTTAATTCGACTCAGCAATTAGGCATTTTCTGATGTTAACTCTCTCTCCACACGATAGCTCGTGTTTTGTCTCTACTTGAGACAACTTATTTCAGGTGGACTGGGGTGTGTGATAGACTTACCTCCATGTGGGGCACCCTGAGCAACGTATACTCATACGGCAAAAAAGTCTATTAACTGACAGTTGACTTCTGACTTCAAACTACCATCACCTCACTCTATGCCATATTCGAATATTTTCACAGTACTCACCTCACCTTTTTCCACTTTTGTGTCTGTCTCTTTTACATCTTTGAAACTCTCTTCTGTTCCCCCTCTCCCTCTCTACTTGTTTCACTTTGATGTTCCTCCTCCTCCTCTCTGTGAAGCCCGAAGTCAACTAAAGGGCTAATGATAACTTTCACAACGCCAGGTGGACCTTCTTAGTGGCTTGTTGAACCTGTCTACAGCCAGTTGGACTTCTAAGAGAAATAGTATGGTCTAGCTCAGAGTTTCATATAATTTTACAAGTTCCTAATTTCCGTTATTGTGAAATTTTACTTTCTTAGCCCAGTATCACTAACTTACATTCATTATCTCCACAGTTGAATAGCTGATTTGTTTTAATTAAGTGGTTTCAAACAACTACTCTATCGTGTTACTTCCCCGCTGCAAGCATTAGAGAAGAAATTTAATGTAATTAGAAAACAATTGCGATCTAATGTAATTATAACTGGATCATTTATGACCAACGAATTAAGGCGCACATTAACCCCCCCCCCACCCAAATTTAGGGCAATCGTCACGTTCACAATAAAACTAAGACACCGATCGCTTTTAATCGTTGAAAGATTCACGAAAAGGGATATAAAACTGGTGGATGAAAGTCTCTCGATTGATCGATTTCTTGCAAGATGTGGTTGAAGTGTTAAGTTATTTGTTGTGATCAAAGTCTGGTGTTCTCTGATGGTATTATACTAGGACGTTAAACGTCAAGAGTAGGATGGATTAAATCCCACACATCCAATGCAGCAGTCCCAGTCTGACCCATCCACCCACCCACCCCTCCACCATCCTCCCACGACTGAGTGCGTCTTGGTGAGCTTGTTTAGTGAGGGTGGCTTATTTGCCCCACTTTTGATAGACAGGTGGTGGCATGATAAAACAATAATAAGGTCATTAAATAGAAAGATTAGCAGACTAAAACAAAAGTGCCCCCAAAGCGTTGACTGACATATTCCACCACTTCCACAGTGATCATCTTACATTTTCTCTGCCTTTGTCTGCCTGTCTCTTTTACATCTGTAAATCTCTCTTCTGTTCCCCCCCCCTCTCGACTTTTTTTCAATTTGATGTTCCTTCCCCTCTGTGTAGCCTGAAGTCAACTAAAGGGCTAATGATAACCGTCAAGACGCCTGCCATTTGATATAAATAAATAAATAATACGGTCGTTAAATAGAAAGATTAGCAGACTAAAACAAAAGTGCCTGCAAAGCGTTGACTGACATGAGAAAAAAGGTGGAGGTAGTGGAGGCCTACAGTTGAGTGGAAGTTATTTATTTACTAGTGGCATGGCGAGGCGCTTTTGAATTTCAAGTGTACTAAGTCCTGTTAGAGCGTTGTCAAAGCCAGGGAGAGAGAGATATATATATATATACAAGATCTTTCAAATTTGCTTAGGACATGGTTTGGTTTATTCAGTCCACGCATTTGATAACGTCCAAATTGGTGACCTCGGCACTTTCTGGTCTAACTCTAACGTGTCAAGGCGCCACTTCAAATTTTTATGGCGAACGAATATTAAGTGATACCAAATGGCAGGCTTTATGATAGTTATCATTAGACCTTTAGCTGACTTCGGGGGCTTCACAGNCTCACTTCAAACTACCATCACCCCACTATAGGTCATATTCCACCACTTACTATACTCATCTTACTTTTTCTCTGCCTTTGTGTCTGTCTCTGCATCTTTGAATCAATCTTCTATCGCCCCCCCCCAATCTCGAATTTTTTCATCGATGTTCCTTCCCCTCTGTGAAGCCTGAAGTCAATTAAATTACTATTGATAGCTATCAAAACGCCTGCCACTTGACATAAGTAAATAAATTAATCTAGACAAATGAAAAATAAAATATCATTGGTTGCATTAAATACGCCCTACCTAAAATAACGGCAATGGTTAAATCCGGTATTGAAAAAAAAACAATATGAGATGATTTTAACAGGGCAGCTTATTCAGATGATCTACAATGTCATACCTTTCCTTCTATCTTTCAAAAATTGCTATTTTTTCCAACAAAAAAAGGCAGATAGAAATATCCAACGTTGTAAAAAGAAATAAAAGTCAGAATTGAAATGCTCGCGAATGCCAAAACCATCAATCAAATGTTTCTCACAAGTAGTCATTATTAAAAGACTCAAATAAGAGAGAGAGTCTTCGACGCACTTGAAGACCACAAACACATGAGGAGCTTTGATAATAATAAGATAAAGGTGATGAGATGAGATGCCAAGCCTGCGACGGGAAAGCGCCAACTTGCGCGCTTCCAAAAAGCATCCGCTGTAGCAGGTACATTTTTTTCACGCCCCCTAGAAGAGTGTATTAAACCGGGGATAATTAACCTTTGAGAGCCTGCTTCACTGTGTGTCTAATATTCTAAATACCATTTCTTTCATTCAGAGACACGAGCTTTATGAGTCATTTTTAAATAAATCGATTCAACGCATAATATTCAGTGGCAGATTTCATAAAACAGTATTAACTTTCAGCATTCGTAATGTAAAACAGCATAAAAGGATGGCGACAACTTCACGAAGAAACAGAACACTAGACAAGAGTACGAACGCTTACCAAAACGGGGCTTAGGCAATTGAAAAAGAAGCAATAGCGTCCACGCTCTTCAATCATTAACCGCTTAATAAAAGCCCGCTCTATATCTTCAATGTTTCGAACTTTTTCATCCAAAACGTGCATTGCTGATTGTGCCTTGACTGCCAGAGAACTATTACCCACTCCGGTGGTGGAAGACGACATATGATTAGACTTTGGCGGTTCTCCCAACCCAACCCCCTGACCAATTGAACTGCTTCCACTGTGTTGACGGCAATGTAAAGTTCCACCATTTCCATGTTTAGATAGTTTCCGCCTTAAACGATTTGTTTCAGCAAGAGCACGCTTTAATTCCCCCCGTGCGCGCTTGGTCTCCCGGTTATGCTCCTTTTCAATTTGGGCAATGGTTTTTTTCCATTCATCCACATGGCTCGTCATTGGATTGACCATGCATGTAATCAATTGACTAAAAATATTACTAACTAAAGAAGACAAACTTACTTTCCCATCGTTTTAACTTGTGATCCAAGACGTTTCTGTCGCATGCAAAGTCGTGTAAAATGAGCACCCATCTCCTTACTACCCCCGGGTGTTTTTGAAGCTAAATCAGCAAGTCTCTGGATGGCATCAAAAAAGGCGTTCGACGCATGGACAGTAGCTCTATAAGGATCATCAAAACCAAACTAAAATGTACCTAAGTGCTGCGAATAATTTCGATCCTTTATTGATGACATCATCCCATATTGGTCCACCGCTCTAATAATATGATCACTTAAAATTTTTATTACCTTAACATCGGACAATAAGTTTACGTACAAATTGTCTAGTTCATGAAAACTCCGAAGAGTGGCCGTTTCGAAATCCATTTCAATTAAACTATATTCTGTTATTGAAAATTCGACTATAACAAGATGTGAATAAACTCATATCAGATAATTTCAAGAAATGCGCTGCAAAATTTATTCTAGGTCGATTAATAATGTTAATTGCAACAAACTACAAGAATAGTTGACTTTTTAAATGAAATATTACAAATTTGTTTATTTATTTTGCCCACTATTATTCAATATTTTATAATAAATGGATCTATTCTATATTTATGTGCATTTCAAATATTACAAATTTAATTTTCATATTGTTTGCTGCTATCTGCATTACACATGACTAGGGATAGTAGAACAAATATGTTTGGCAAAATATCGTTCTTTAACATTTTTACATAGAATTCAATTTTGAAATTGATTAAAAGATTGATTGTCCAGAGATATTTTAGGCTCATTAAGCTCTCATTAGTCGAGTCTAAGCGTTTGAACAATTATGCATTTATTGGAAGATTATATTGACTGATAAGGCTTAATAATGGTTTTGAAGTGTGAATGTTTATTTGGGAATTAATCTATATGAAGATATATATTCCGCGTCTTTTATGTTTGCAAAGCATGGTATTTGAGATTTCGAATAGTTATATTTAAAACCAAAACAGTACTTCTATTGGATTTTGTTTGTACGTCAGATATCAATAATAATTTGAATTATTGGCGTAGTTTGTACAAAAATTAACAGTCCAAAGAATGCTTATATCAGTTTATATCTATTTTTTATTCATTTCAAATGGCAGGTGATTTGTTAGTCATCATTAGCTCATTTGGTGACTTAGGGCTTCACAGATGGGAGAAACCTCAAAGTGTTTAAAATTCGAGAGGGAGAACAAAAGTATGATTCCCAGATGAGAAAGAGACAGACAGACACAAAGTTAGAGATAAAGGTAAAACGAGTACTGTGGAAGTGGTTAAATATGACATACAGTGGGTCATGGTGGTTTGAAGACAGAAGTCAACTGTCGGTTTATAGACTTTTTTGCCGTATGAGTATACTTTGCCCAGGGTGCACCACGTGGAGGTAAATCTATCACACACCCCACAATTTAATTTTGTTGAATACACTTACCTATATATTGCCAATGTCATTAAGACTTATGAACATATATTAATTGCTAGTCATTTCTGAATCTCCAACTTGGCACAATTTTATTTCATAATATCTGATCAAGATTTCTACTAATTCGGCCTAACTATTAATGCGATTCACGGTCACTGTGAAATTAAAGGCAATGTGCTTGCTGACAAACTTGCTGAGAAGGAGACTACAATTTTGCAAGGCATAGACCGATCGATGTCTATCCGCACAATGAAGGCCTT